CACGTTAAAATATAAATTGTATTATTAAAAAATTACAAATCAAAGTTACATAATTATAATCATTATAATGCAACAATATGATATAAAATTTTTAATTTCATAGTCGATATTAATGGTGTCAATATGTAATTGTAATACACAATTCATTCTCTTCATAAATATAAAAATATAGTACATGAATTCATTTATTATAGTTAAATGATATAAAATAAATAATAAAAAATGAATTAAAAAATTCGAATACAATAATATTTAGCTACTGTGACTTTTTGTGAATAATCCAGAGCTTCTACTCCATCCAGGTATCAGCGAATTACTTTAAGGAAGCCCGACAATTATTAGAATAAAACAACATAAGTAACACTAAAAATATAAAAAAAATTGCAAAAAAAAAAAAAAAAAAAAAAAAAATGAAAAAAAAAAAAAAAAAGGGAAAAAAAAAAAAAAAAATGAAAAAAAAAAAAAAAAATAAAAAAAAAAAAAAAAAAAAAAAAAGAATTTGGACTATTTGACTTGAATTTAGGCAAAATTTGAGAATATTATTAGTAGAAGGAAATGAAATATGTAAGTTTGAATTATAATCTATATTAATTGTCTACTCAATAGTGATGGAGGATGGACGAATATAGTTTAGTAGCAGTTGTTCAAAACTTTATCCAATTTGAAGATTTTACATTCACATTTGTGATGATTAATGAGTATTTGGATATGAATAAATTAATTAATTGAGATGTGAAATTGTCGAATTGAGTTTAATTGAATTATGTCTAATATGGGTGTATCTTTTAATTAAAATGTGTTATGTTTTAATTGAGTTAAATAAAATTTAAACTAATTTGCTTTCAATTTTTTTTTTTGGTAAACGGTTTGGCGGTTTAAAACAGTTTGCAAAGTTGAAACCTAAACCAAACCCCTTCGAAACGGTTTGGTTTGGTTCAAAATCAAAACGTTGATGGATCCACGTGGAATCAAACCAATAATTTCAGAAAAACGGTTTCGGTTCGATTTTGCGGTTTGACGATTTTGTAGTTCAGCCCTATCCATTATTTGGTGCCACCAAAAGAGTAAATTGTCTTTTATTTGAATTAATTAAGTTGGCCTTTCCTTTCCTTACATTTCATTAGTTGATGGACACGTTACATTTTTAAATTGAAGCAATGAGTAACTTAGGCAATTATATAGTAAATGTTTGTCCATATACGGTGATGGAAGAATTATGAATGATTCACATGTATATCTCACGCGGATAATTATGACATACCTTAAATAAGAACATCAAGTTGGAAATAACAGATGAAAGATTTTATTTTTTTTTAGGTTTTAAATGCATATTTTATTTGTGTCAAATAGTTAAATTTTGATAGAGTGAGTATGAGTATATCTATATTGGGCTCATTTCGTAGCTCGCATTCAATAATATATTTTTGACTCAAGAAAATTTAAGTTCTTTTAAATTAAACCTAAGTTATTTCAATTCAAAGAAACGTGGGTAATAAGTATTATTTTTATTATTTAATAATATTTCTTTTAAGACAACAAGGAAAGAAAGTAATATTTTATCATATAATCAACGTTTATCTTTATTATTAGAAAAAGAGATTTAATCATCTTAATTGTAAATTTACCTTTTATCTATCAGCAATTCAATTTTTTTCTTGTGCGTGATTTGAGCATTTTACAAAACGTGATATATATATATATATATATATATTTCTAGTTAACTTGATTGATTGATGGATAGAGGAAAATGAATTTCTCTTATTTTAAGAAGACTTTTACCTTGATTTTGGATTAAAATATTAACTTTAACATTTATGACTTTTGATCTTTCCAAGATAACACGTGACGAACCTTGCTCCCTGTCCCGGCTTGGGGACAGAGTTAAAAATAGGGGCGCCATGGAGGGGCGCCCTCCAATAGGGGGCACCACATGTTTTTAAACTTGTCCCCAAACCGGGATAGGTGGTTTTATCCGTGACTTTTTGGTCTACATTTGAATAATTTATTATATATACTTTTGTACAAATCTCTTGGTATGATTCATGGCAGTAATGACTTTTGTACTATCAATGTGTCAACTTTCTTTCAATTAGAATAGAAATAATTGCCTTAATTTCATTCACGTGAATGAGTGAAAAGAGCAGTCATCAAATTTAGCCATTTATGTGAAATGCGTAGAATACAATATAAACGTTATAAATTATTTTTTGTAGAACAAAGATAGTCACAGCTAGAGAGGATAACAAATTTAGGACATGAATTTCTTATTTTCTGCCTACGGTTATTTTCAACAATCAAGGTAAGATATTATGTAAAAGTTGTTCCGTCCTTTCAATATTGTATTTTTTTTACGTAATTTATTTCATGAAATGTTAATTGACCTACGTGTCCCTATGGAATGAAATGAAATGGAATGTGAAATTGCCTTCGGGTCTTTTCAAATGTGTTAGAGCTTTCACTTGATCACCGATTGCTCTTGATGAAATGATGGTATGGAATGTTATGAATTCATTTTTTAAAAAGTTACTATATTGTTTGGACACACGTATCCTACTGAATATAAATTACTCACTCCTTCAATTTCAACATTTCAGGTTGATTGATCGATGTGGATGGTAGTCGCATCAAATGTCATATGATCTGTGGCTCCAGAATCAAGTATCCAAGTGTTGCGGTCACCATCTCTATAAGAACTGAAGAGAGCAATACCTGAACCTTCATCAGTTCTAGTTCCGTCAATCTTATCGCTGATCCCTTCAGCAACAAAGTCTGTGGTCGGGGTCGAGACTGAGGATTCGATCAAGACCTCAGTCATTTTCATGGTTAACTCTTCCAGACTGAAAGAGGTAGGTGGGTCTGTGTCTGTGTCGGCCATGGAGAATAATTGGTCTTTCATTTCTGGGTCTGTCAAGTAAAATCTTTAGGGAAACGTTCACGAATAAATTTGTTATGAATACTTGGTGTGTTTTCTCTATCTCTATTTAATGTTCTAAAATTTATGACACCATGATTATTTAGTGTTTAAGAGTTCACATAAATTAAGGGGCCGTTCTCTTTGGCGTTTTCGGGCCGTTTTTCGTTTTCGATTTTTCAAAACGGTGAAAACTCGTTCTCTTTCCCATTTTTCAAAAACGCGTTTTCGAAAACAAAAAAATTTTTTGTGAAGAAAACATAAAACGACCAAAATGTCGTTTTGGGTGTTTTCTGTACAAAACGTGTAAAAAATGGAAAACGCAGAAAACATCATTTTCCATTTCTTCTCCACTGTGCATGAGAGAACCATGAAAGAACGCCATTTCTCCACCACTTCTTCCTCAACAATCGACCACCACCGCTGCTTTTTCCTCAACAATCGAAACCCCTCACACCGCCACTACCAGTCACGATTTTGGGCAAAAATTCGTCAAGGTGCGCTCATAAATTCATCAAGTTCTGGGCAAAATTGGGGTTGACCCATGGCTGGACAAGATGCGCTAGGTGAAGAGGAGTTCAACGCATGTGGTTCGCGACCATGGGTCCACCGGACGACGCCGAAATCTGCAAAATTCAGATTTTGCAAATTGGGCTTCGCGACTGCCAATATGTCTGGGTTTAATTCGATTGTGGGATTGTTGTTTGTGGTAAATTGGGGCCATGGTTGGGGTCAGTTTGTGGTAGGCAATCGACCGGTAGTGGGCTCCGATCAATTTGGTGGCCGGAGGTGGAGTTACCAGCAATTTTTCGATTTTTGAGTAGGCTACTTTGTGGATGGATTCCGGGCAAATTCAATGGAGTTATGGGAAGATGTTGGTTGATAATTGAAGACGAGGTTAAACGCTTTTCGATGGTACCAATATCTGGTGGTCTTGGTGGCCGACGTCGTCGAAAATTTGATACATGATGGTGACAGGTGAAGGGTGGATTTGGTGGTGGAGATGGGAATTGAAATAGGCTTGGGATTTGGCAGGATAGTGAACAAGTTTTCGAGTTTTATGTTTTGGGAAACATTTTTTCAAAACGACAAATAGAACATGTTTTCAAAAATTTCAATAACAACACTCAAAACACAAAACTCAAAAATAAAACTCAAAACTCAAATACAAAGAGAACATCCCCTAAGTATTTTAAATTTCCTACTTATATTTTCGCTTCAAGTATGTGTTATGAAATGATATTGGTAACACTCCAAAATTTAAGTAGATAAAATTTGGGGCGTTTCACTCTCTCTCTTTCATGGCTTCCATCATTTTCGTTTTCTCCCTTATTCGAATTGGAATCGCCATAGCTATTAATCTCAAGCCCACTAAAAAAAATAAAAAACAATGGTTGGCTTAGATTCTTGAAATGGAAATCCAAATGTGAAAACTGTGTTTCTTACTAGGTTAGAGTAGAGATAGAACCTCTTGAAGCAATTCCAATCCTCAGCAAATCTAGGGCAAAAATTGGAGTAGAAGGAAGGGAGGGAGAAGATAAAGAATTGGATATGATCCAGGAGTCGAGCCCGACGAAGGCAAGTGCGAGGCGAGACCCGTTGATAGTCGATGGCGAACTAATGACGCGATCAAGGGCAAAGCAAGTGAAACAAGCGATGGGATTGCTCGTTCAAGAAACCATTGATGGAACCATGTTCGGGACTCAAAATAGAGCAACTTTCATGTTCGGGTCGAAAGTCGAATCAACTTGGATCAATTTATTATCAAGCGACGAAAGCGGAGACTAAAGACAACACCATGCGGCCACACAGGCAAAACCACATGCGGCCACACACATGCATCCCGAAAACCAAAAGTACAATTTCAGTTGAACCATGCGACCGCATGGATTTACACCATGCGGCCGCACAGGCCAAAAATTTGGCGAATTTTCCAATTTTGGCAATTTTCCATATTTTGTTGGATTTTGATTCTTTTCCATATTTTGG